ACCCCAGCCCATCACCCATCCACCCATGACTTCCCTGTCTCCCTAAGGCTTCGGCAAATATACAAAGATGCGGAGACCCTTGTGTTTCGGGACCCCTCTCCTTGGCGTTGGGCCGACTTTACCGCCCACCCTCGGGTTCTGACTGTGGGTGATCGCACTGGAGTGAAAATTATCGACACTCAGGTGAGGAATAGGGATTATCACAGGCTCAGCAGTGGGGCAACAGATACACGGGGTGGGGGCTGGCATGGGAGACCTCACCAGGGAATCCAACAGATTGGTGATGTCCCAAACCTCAGACCATGGGAGGGCTGACCTGGCTTTCTCCCCCAGGGCCCACCAGGCTGTGGTTTGCTGCTTTTCCGTGGGGGTGCAGAAGCATCGTGCCAGAAAGGAGAACGTATCCTGCTAACCCAGTACCTGGGGGAGTGCGGCCCTGATTCTCTGCAGCCCACACTCCATCTCATCTGTACCCAGGTAGGGACACCTTCCCCCTCCTATCCCTTGTGCACTGTTTCAGCCAGTTACTAGAGAGGGTCCTGGGACAACTAACTGCAGGTGAGATAAGAATCACAACACCCTGAAGAGTCTGTGGCCGAAACATGCTAACTGGTGGGTGGGTAGGGCCTCACAGGGTTGACATCTGAGCGGGGCTTTAAGGTGCCAATGGAGAAGAACCAGGTGAGGAGGAAAGGCATGGAGTAGGGGAGCAGTCTGCAAAGCCAGACAATCCCCGTGTGCTCAGGAAAACGGAAGAGGTCTGAGAGTTCCTGAGGGCCTGCCCCCACACCATGCCACCTCCCCCCTCCCAGGGTATTAGTAGGTGTGTCTCAAGCATAAATTCCGAGGTCTGGAGAGTCAAGAGAAGGCTGGGTGAAAGCCAGGGGCCTTTCTATGTGGCAAAACTCCTCCACACCTCTCCTGAGATCCCTTCTCCCAGTTGTGGCCATCAGGATGAAAGATGGTGCTGCCCACTTGGGAAGCGCCTCCTGTGTGGGGCTGGGCACATGAAGGTGGAGAAGTGGTCAGGGCCAGTCAGTGTGCGTGACCACTCGGATTTCCAGTCATCCTGAGAGCCAAATGGGCCCACTCAGAGAAACATACCTCATCAGACCCTTCTCCCCATCTCAGTCACATCCCTTCTGTCTGGTTTCTGCTTGTGCCCCCAGTTCTCACTCTACCTGGTGGATGAACGCCTCCCCTTGGTGCCCATGCTGAAATGGGACCACAGCCTCCCCTCTGCTCCCCTGCTGGCCCAGCTGCTGCCTCCACCCCACCCCGGCTGCCCGAGGCCGCTGCTCCTCGGAGGCCAGGGCGGGCAGCTGCAGCTGCTGCACATCACAGGTGAGGGTCCGGGTGAGGGCAGGAAGCGTGCGGAAGATGGGCAGGGCTGGAGCCCAGACGGGACCTCAGCCGTCTGTCCTCCTTCCAGGGGAGGGGGTCTCCGCGCCCCGGCTGGCAGGGCCCCCCCAGTCTCTCCCTTCCAGGAGCGACTCCCTCTCCGCATTCCCTCTGCTGGAGCCCAAGAGTCAGTGGCAGCTGCAGGAACGTCTACAAGCACCAACAATAGGTTTGTTGGGGTGAGGAAGGGAGTTTTGGAGCTGCACCTCTGCCAGACCTTGGAGTCACTGTCATTCTTGTCTCTAGGTCTGGCTGCCACCATCCTACCCTCTTCCTCCCCACCAGTCCTGTCGCTCTTCCAACTCTCCGCAGCTGGAGATGTCTTCCACCAGCACTTCCACCTCCAGAAAGACCCCAGGCCCCCAGGTGACCCTGAGCCTAACTTCCATGCCACGACGGCTTCCTGGAGCCCCCAGGCCACTGCTTGCTGCCGCAGGTGGCTGAAGGCCCTGCTGAAGATGCCGCTGGCTCCCCCTGTGTGGGCCGCACCCACCTTTTCCCATCGCCGTCTGCTGGACTTCAAGGAGCAGCAAAAAGTTGAGGGGAAAGTGTCAGAGGGTCTCCGGGCAGCCATGGCCAAAGGGCGGCTACTGCAGCAGAGGGACCTGGGCTCGCTCCTCACGGCAGAGCCACCCCCAGGCCCGGAGCCGGGCCCCAAGGATGAGCTCAGTAAGCGCTTGGAGGCAGCCTGGGAAGACCCAGCGGCTGCCTGGTGGGAGCGGCAGCAGGGCAGGACCTCAGGGCCTGGGAAGCAGCCCAAGCGGCACAAGCGTCGGATGCAGCTGTCCAGTACCTTCTCCTCCCTCAGCAGCCGCCTGGACCTCTCAGGTGCCACCAGCCCCCCTCAGAGCCCAGACCGGATATCCCCTGTGTCCAGGCCTCAGCCCCCAGTGACCTTGCCCTCCCAGGAGTTAACCCAGGGTCTGTGGGCCCAGGGCATCCCCTCAGAGCGGCAGCAGACCCTCCGGGACTATATGGCTAAGCTACCCCTTGAAGGGAACACTCCAGAAGGTGCCTCTGTGCCTCCCTCTCAGACCTCCAGCATCCGGGCCACCCCTTCCAGGCAGCGGACCCTCCGGAACTGCACAGCTGAGCTGCCACCCCATGAGGACACCCCAGGAGGTGCCTTCACACCACCCTCCCAGACCTCCAATATCCAGGCCACCCCCTCCAGGCAGCAGACCTTCCAGGACTGCACAACTGAGCTGCCACCCCACAGGGACACCCCAGGAGGTGCCACTGTGCCCTCTTCCCAGACCTCCAGCATCCGGGCCACCCCCTCCAGGCAGCAGGCAACTGTCCTCTCTGGCTCTCAGCCATACCGGAAAAAGCCCCGCATGGGCTTCTGAGGGCCCAGGGAAGCTGCTCCCCACCTCTGGGAAGCCCTTAGTCCTGGACCAGGTATGCCTTTTGTGACTGAAACTTAGGGAATGAAGAGGAACAGTCTCAGGGCTCAGACTTCCTGCTTCCTGAGGGCCACTGTGACTGGGAGACATTCAAAAGTGATTTGGAGCCAAGTTAGACAAATAGGAACAACAAAATAGCAGTTTCTCCTGTAGTTTGTTCTTTTGCCTGAAGGTATTTCAGAGGCAGGTTGACAAGGCCCCTGTCCTGAAGGTGTGTTGTCAAGACGCCCTCCAGGAGGCAGTGCTGTGCTTGAAGCAGGGGCTCCATTAAGGCCATGGGCTCCACCTCATGCAAGCTGTGTCCTGTCCGTGTCCCCCAGTCACAGGGCAACAGTGCCAGCTCCTCACCATGATTGGTGACAGTGAAACGAGACACTGAGGGGCTACTTGTGGGTGTCAGCAGCTGCTGTGGGCTAGTGTGTGTGTGTTAAGCAATTTCTGCCATGAGCTGATGTTTTGTAGAGGGAGATGCTTTGGACTCACCTTTAGGGATTGAATAAACTTGTCACTTGAGCATGGTTTTGAATGGTGAAGTTTCTAGGACTGGGAGGTGCTCACTTATGTTGCTTTTGATATCTAATACATAAAGTTCACTTCCTCTAAGTTCTGTAGCTGGTGGAAGACTCTGCTCCCCTGTGGAAAACACCTACCTGAAATGTCACAGGACACTGATCTGGTCTAGATTTCTAATTCCACATGGAGAGAGGAATGGTCTTATCTCAGGGTACCTGATGAAATGGCTCATATAGGACTCGCACAGATACTAAATAATCAACATTATCTCACATGACTACTAAAATGTTTATAGTGTTCAAAGGAGACATTGACGGTTATACAATTTAAATCACAAATAACCGGGGTAAGTGGGTTATACTCTCAGAACAAGGAACACAGTGCTGCCCGACATTTGCAAGAGCTGAGAGCGTAGGGGATGAGTTGTGCGATGGGTACACGTTGCAGCCAAGGCCCCAGAGCACTCTCAGGAATTGCAGGAAAGGGGGCCAAGCATGAGGGTGACCTGCACCCAGACACTGGCTCCGTTAGTCCAAGGGCAGTGGGGCCTCCTTGTGGTTCAGTCCAAGCCAAATTCAATATCTTCCTGGTCTCCCACCTCAGGCACTGCGGGCTCCTCAGGCTCCCTCTCAGACCACACTGCATCCTTCCCAGTGCTGTTTCCTAGAGGAAAGAAGGTGGCTCAGTATTCTTGGGAAGTATGGCCATGCCCGCATACAGGCCTGGAGTCAGCCATGCAAGCTGGTGTTCAGAGAGAAACCTGGCTACCGAGGGTGTCAAGAGCAGGAACTGTCCAGGTTCAAGATTCCCTGATTTGTGTTCCCATGACAGTTGCTGAACAAATACCCACCAGTTTGCTTGTGATCAATAAGTACTAGCCAGCTTCCCCTGTAGTACATCTCCCTGGTCACAGGCTCAGGCCCCCATCACCAGTCCAGGCTGATATGTCAGATTGTGGCCTCATCTGTCCCACCCAGCCAGCTGCTCTGGACACTGTCTCTGCCTGGTGAACCTCCCGTCTCACATGTCCTATATCCTGATTCTGGACCTTCACTGTGGAGGGGCCACAATCAGCCTGCTGTTCCCACATTCCCAGCTGTGGTGTCACCAGTCCCCTCCCTCCCTTAGAAGCCTTTGTCTGGAAAGGCTGAGGATCTAGATGGTGAGGAAGGGGGTGAAAATATAGGCTCCCTAGCCCCATCTACACCTGCTGAACAAGATTGCCAAGATCTGCACGGTCCTAAGTAGCCCGGAGATGCCACCCACCCGGGAATGCTTTGGCTTGGCTGCTTCTCAGANGCCCCATCTACACCTGCTGAACAAGATTGCCAAGATCTGCACGGTCCTAAGTAGCCCAGAGATGCCACCCACCCAGGAATGCTTTGGCTTGGCTGCTTCTCAGACAGGTGAGTGACCAGAAAGTGGCAGCTTCAAAGAGGCATAAAGTTAGGAGTGTGGTCACAGCCACCTCCATGTTCAGTCATGAGCGACCTTCTCCAAGAACATGGGATTGTTGGGCCAAAGGCCTAGTTGGCCATCTCCTGCAGGGTTGGGGTGGTCAGCTGTTCATTTCCCCACTGTCAAAGCTGTTGGCCCCTGTGCTTGGAGAGCAGGGTGGCATTACCTGGAGGAGAGGCTGAAAGTAGGTCACCGTACCCGTCCTCACTGGAAGGGGGTGGTGCCACATCCTTTTTGCAGGTGGGGGGTGTNGGCTGAAAGTAGGTCACCGTACCCGTCCTCACTGGAAGGGGGTGGTGCCACGTCCTTTTTGCAGGTGGGGGGTGTTGGTGGTTTGCCCGAAGGCTCATTGCTGTTGAGCTCCTGAATCAGTGGGCGTGGGGACTTGGTGTCCCTACTTTGGGTCTCCAACTCCCTCTTTGCTGCTTCTTTAAATATGTGTGTAAAGGGCGTCTCGACTTTCCTGGAGGTGTCCTTGGAGATTGCGAATATGTTTGAAAGGGTGTGTGTAGATGTGTTTTCCAGCACTGGGAGTGAGGTGTAGTCCAGCTCAGGGTCACTGTCATCATTCAAGCTCGAGATGGTTGTAATCTTTGGAAAGCACATCTTCTGTTTTAAAAAAAGATGTCTTTGAACATTTCTGCTTTCACAGTAGTCACTCTAAAATGCACAATACTAATTCCACTGCTATCCCGCACAAAATATTCTATTGCCATGTACAAGAAAGTGCCAAGGGAGCAGAGCATTCCCCCTTGGAAAGTTGGGCCTCCGGATGGACACCCTTAGCCAGCCATTTCTGAGCCCCAAAGTTGTGGTGAGCTCTACAACGGTGTCCACATTTCTTTCTCACCTNACCCTTAGCCAGCCATTTCTGAGCCCCAAAGTCGTGGTGAGCTCTACAATGGTGTCCACATTTCTTTCTCACCCTCTGTTGGGTCTCCACATTGCCCACTCTGTTCTGGCTACACCCACACCCTCCCAGGGCCCTGAATGGGCTCATCTCTGAGCCTTGGCCTCTGGCTGGCATGCACCTGACCCGGCCACCTGGAGGTCAGGCCCCGTAGGAACTGTGGTCTCATGTCTGGTCCCTTTCTCAGTGATGAGGTCCTGCACAGATTGTGTCTTATCCTTTTGTCTCCCTTAGGGTCGGGGTCTGGCACACACAGGTTCTCAGTAACGCTGGAGGGAGGAGGGTCAGGTCAGATTGGGAGACCTCCCCATTGTGCCTCATACACTTCTTCCTCCCCCCTCTTTCCTCCCCTCTCTATGTATTGCTATAGTACAAATGTATATAAGATGGACATATAAATATATCAGGAGGGCAGAAACATGTCAGGTATTTATGTGAATACATAGTTATTAAAAATCAGTGGTAAAATTTATTCAAGAAAGCCCCAGTGGTTAATCATAAAACCTTAAGGAAGTGAGCAACAGCCAACAGTTGCCTTTCCTTTTGAAAGGTGAAAATACAGGGGATGTGCAGTGCTTTAAGCACAAAGAGCATTTTACTTTCGAATTAAGCTGATATACTTTGTAAATGACAAGACTGGAAGTGGAAGTGGAATTATGCTGATGTGGGGAAAAACTGTGTTATTACCTTGTCCTGTTCTTCCAAAGATTCGCCTGTATCAACATCTTCCAAGTCAGGTAGGTCCTGAAATAGCAAATGATCCCATGTCACCAGGAGGGCATGCACACTCTGAATGCTGGGTAGGTGAGACAGGTGCAGCCACCCAGTCCAGTGAGCCCAAGTCACGTGCATGACCCAAACCGCTCAGATAGCCCATGCACACTCACAAAACACACACATGTGGCTACTTCAAGTATCTGGATCTGATCAACAAATGAGATTTGCAAGGTGTGACATGTTTGAAGAATTTCCACACCTTTCTCCATTTGATTTTGTCATTAGAGATACACAAGGTTATCTGGGGGAGAGGGGGGGACTTGATGGGGCCCAAACCAAATGCACCTTCTATGTACAAATTAGTCTCAGGACTCTGTGGTGTAAAGTGAGTATATTTTGGACCTCCCCAACTAGAAGGGCTTTTGTGTTTCATGTTGTGTTTTGATGTCTTAATCTCTAAAAACCGATCCAGCACCATGACAAGCACCAGCACAAGGTAGGCAGCACGGTGTGTTAGATTCATGAACTGAGGAGTCAGACTGCCTGCGTTGGTATTCCTCCTCCACTGTTGCCTAGCTGTGTAGCCACGGGCAAGTTACTTAACCTCTCTGTTCTTCAATTTCCTTGTCTGTAAAATGGGGATGGGAATAGGACCTGCCTCTCAGAATTATTGGAAGGGTAAATCCATCAATACAAGAGTAAGAACAGTAAGTGTTAGCTATGAGTTGCCCTGTATATAGTCGGTTCTCAAATGCTAGAGATTAATCTCCTAGTTTTGTTTCTTAATATACATAGGCCCAGAAAACTAGAAACCCACTCAGTTTGTCTTATTGAGCCACATGAAATTGTGAGGTTAGAGATGAAACAGTTTAGAAGTTTATCAAGAGAGTGGGTAGGGGGCAAAGTTGTGCCCATGGGTTTAAACAGAAGGAACTCAGGGCTCTCCTTCCAGGTGAGCAGAGTGAGCACCAGCTGCCCACTAAGTGTGAGGCTAAAGGTTTGAGAAATGCCTCCCCACTCCTCACCCCACCAAACTCGTTTCTGGGGGAGGTGACAAAATGTGTGAGTTTTCATGGTGTTCATTCCTTGGGCTAACACATTTAAGACTTATCAAAACAGAATTCAGCTTCAGGAAGGAGAGGGTTCATGAGGCTGCTCCGCACTGAACATGGGTCAGGGAGCCAGACACTGGACAGCCACGTCAGGAAGCTGGAGCAGCCATAGGACAGGAAGATGGCATCAGCCGTTTGCTGGGCAGCTGTCCATAGGAGATTAGAGGCTCTGATGACAAAATGTAACTTTCTCGACCATTATGTATAAGGCTAGCTGGACAGTGGCTTAGCAGTGTAACTTCTTTGGGGAAAACAAATCAAGAGTTTTATAGACACAGTTCAAGGGAAATCACCTGGGCCAGCACTTCTCAGTCTTGAATGTGCACACATATGAACCCCCGAGGGGAGATCTTATTAAAATGCAAATTTGGATCAGTAGGTCTGGGTGGGGCCTGGGATTCTGCACTATAACCAGTTCCCAGGGGATGCTAAACCTGCTGATCCAAGGACCACACTTAGGGGAGTGAGGGTTTTGAAGGGTCCTATCTGATCATCTGTTTTAAAACAGATACTTTTCTCCACATGTGACTGTTTACATACATTGATGAAGAGCTTCTCCTCTGTCTTCAGCACAATGGTTTCCAAATCTTCACCTCCACCAGGTTCTGTACCTGATGCACTCTCAGTGGCCACAACCTGGGGAGCTGATTCTAAGGAACAACAACAAAGAGGTATTCATCTTGGAGTTAGTTTTATATGCAGAGGTCAGATAGACAAGGCCAAGGTCAAGGTGGATTCCAAGAGCAGAGGAAGGACAAATGCTTGGTCTGAAAGACCAGCCCCTGTGACAGCAGCTGTGAGAATCCCCAGATTAGGATAGGGTTATGTGTAAAAAGAAAGGAAAGGGAAGGGAAAAGGAGAGAGCTGCCTCGGCCAGAGCCTGGAGATGACTCGGATGAGATGGAAGTGCCAGCCAGGAGTCAATGCAGAGCACGCAGGCACCTTGGAAAAGGCGTGATCGATGGGCAAGGAGACTGAGAAAGGCAACAGCGTCAAAGGCCAACTGGGGAGCTGGAGAACAGGCAAGCTGGGGGTTCATGTCATAGCTCTGTCTGGGAGGGCCGAACCCACTGCCCTCTTGGACCGCCCACTGAGCGTTAGAGAGACCTGTTAAATGGTTCAAGGTTGCTTGGGGATGAATATGGAATCCAGGGGGGGTTCCTCCTCTTCCTCCTCCATGGCCCCACTTTTCAAACTCCCCAAGGCTGTATTCTTGGGCCCTGTTCTCTGCTTTCTCATCTGTCTCATGGCTTCAGTTACTACATTAAAGATTAATGGCCCATCTTTTCTCATTACACGTAGGTTCAATGCGTCCACCCTGAGTACTGGTATGAACAGTGTGATTCAAAGAGCCACTTTGGGGCACGAGTTTAAGACAAAACAGGCAGCAGGCAGAGGGCTTCCATGGTTGCTGCTGTGGATGACCCCAGGCCCACAACACGGCTCCACCGTTTACTTGCTTTGCGACTTGGAGCAAGTTACTTCACCTCTCTGAGCCTCAGTTTCCAACTCAAAAAAATGCAGTAATGATCATAGCACCTGGCTCATAAAGTTGCTGAGAAGGCTGAACAAGGCAGCCTGGGAAGCTGTGGCCTTCACTGGTGCCCATAGACGTTCCAGGTCTGGCTCATCCTTACTGACAAAACAGCAATAGGACGGTGTCTTACGTTTATCTGTTAGTCAGCAGGACCCTAGGACCATGGCTAGAACCTGCCAGGGGTACCTTTTTCTACATCTGCATCATCTACTATGGTAGCCAGAGCCACATATGGCTGCTGAGAGCTTGAAATGTGGCCAGCACTCCTGAGGAACTGAATTTTTATTTTTGTTTTTAATCAAATTTAAAAGCTGAAGCAGTATAAAACAACTTGCTTCTTTTAGTAGGACTTCATTTTACTTTAACTGTTGAAAAGTTAGCATCTGAATTACAATGTACTGTTTAAGTGTCAAAAACATAGTGGATTTGAAGATGTAGTGCTCCCCAAAGGTAAAGTATCTCATTAATAATTTTATATTGATTTAAATTACTATATTTTAGACGTAGTGGATGAAATAAACTATATTGTTGGTGTTTCACCCATTCTTTTACTTTGTTTAATGTGCCTCTGTTATATTTCTATGAGCAGCACTGCTCTAGATAGCGAGACAATGTGTGTACTTCATCTTATAGAAACAGCAACCAGCAGGGGAAAACTGCCCCTGGCCCCGTGGATGCATGACTCCGAGGCTGCGATTCCTGGAGTGCTGCCCTGAGCCTGCATCTGTGTTGTTCTGATCACACTGTAACAGATAGCAAGAAGCTAGGAAACTTCCTGGGTAAGTGGAATAGGGAAACTGAGACAAGAAAATTAAACAAGGCCAAACATTTTGGGCAGCTTGCAGCCAGCTTACAGCAAGACCTTATCTTCCCCAACCAAGGACACTTGAGAGCAAATGGTTAATACCTCTCCTCCCCAACCAGAGAATACTTAGCTTAAATCACCCTGGAACTGCTAAGGCAGGAGGGGGCAAGGGGCAAGGAAAGAAGGGGGAGTTTTATCTCACCCACTAAACAAAGAAGTCAGCTGTTTGGGGGAAAGGGGGACAGGGGAGTTTATCTCACTCACTGAAAAAAGAATTCAGAAGTCTTGGGACTTGCCAGATGTTCTCATAAATTCTGGGAAATCCACAACAAAGTAAAATCTACCTTGAAATCTAGTCTGTGCCCAAGATACCTGGCAGAGGAACCTTGAAACCTGTAGACAGAAGGGTATAAAACCCCCTGAACCCCCACCAGGTTCACACTCAGGTTAGCTGAGTGCCCACCTCTGCTTTATGCCAGGTGTATTTTGATAAATTAGCTTGCCTTGCTTCCTTAATAAGTTAGCTTGCTTTAGTGAAACACTGCTGTGTGTTACTCATCTGAATTCCTTCTCACAAGCATGACAAGGACTGAGGAGGGGACAGCACTCTCCCTTCAACCGTCCGATGACCTTTTCTGGTGTTTCTGGTGTCCTATAACAACACTACCTTCCCAGGTAGCTCCCAGGGTTGCTGGCTTGGGGGCCTCAGCTGGGAGCAGCCCTCCTGGATCCTGGTCTTCAACCTCTGAATTAACATGAGTAGGCAGCTCCTCTAAGAAACTCGACTTTTCTGGGAAGAGCTCATCCTTGGCCTCGAAGCATTCCTTGACAAACAGCTCCATTTTTTGCTGCCTTTCTCCATCTTCATGAGGCTCTTCCTTCCCTTCCTCATTGACATCCATGTTCTCATTTTCATCTGGTGCGGGCACCTCCCCTGGACAAGAGAAGTCCGGAGGTGAACTGGGAAATGTCCTGGGAGGACAGGGTGTCTGCATGTCTCTTGGGGACATGCAATGAACTGCTGAGACTGAGCCCAGGGAACTGTCTGGGACCAGGAAAGAATTGCCCTCACGGTGTTCATTGCTTTTTATATTGCTAAATAAACAGAGGTAAATGTCCATGAGAGGGATCACTTAGCTCATCCATCTAATGGAACAGGACACAGCCATTAAGAAAGCAATGCAGGAGGTTCTTAGGAGATGTACGCAGAAGTACATGGGTTTGAGGGCCACGATGTCTGCCTTCATTTTCAAATGGTTCAGCAGAACAGGAAAGTGTGTGTGTGTGTGTGTGTGTGTAAATGTAAAAAATCATCTGACACCATCCCTTAAGCTTTTCTGAAAATTTTTAAAAATATCCAAATACAAAGCTGAGAAAAGAAAACATGCTATGGGAGAAAGTCTATTTTATGGAAGAAATATTATACTAATGCAAAAGAGTAGGCAGGAAGCAATGTAATTATACCATTTTTCTCTAAAACACATATGTGTTACATGCCTGGGGAAAAGCCAGGAACTACCCACACTAAATACTGAGTGGTTCTTGCTGCAATTATGTTGTTCCTTGTGCTTTTCTGCATGTAATGTATTCACATTTTGTAATTAGGTGAAAACCAATACATGTCCTTTAGAAACATGTGTGGAGACTCTTGCTTTTCTACTGGATATAGGACATGGAAGGGGTTTCTTACTTATTAGGGTGCCCTGAGCACCATCCCCAGGATCCTGCTGGCTCAAGTTGGGGTTGGACTAGGATAGACCCAGGACTGACTCATTAGAAGCCTCTACCAAATGCTGGCCTTGGGTGTGGGCTGGGGGCTCTGAGTCCTGGACTAGGGGCTGTAGGTTAGGTGGGGCAAGGAGGGTTTCATTTATACCAAACCTGGGAGTGGATAGAGTCTTGAAATGGGGAGAGAGTGAGAGAACAAGGCAGGGAGAGAGACTCCAAGATCTCAGAACAGGGTCTGTGGGGGCCAAGAACATTTTCCCGGCCTGCCCTAGTTGTGCCAAGCTAGAAATAGGATGATCCTGAATCTTTCAAGGGTCTAGCAGGTTTAATACAATCATCCAGCTAAACAGAGGGAAAATGATCTGTGCTACAGGGGAGGCAGTGCAGCTACCCTTCAAAGTTGACAGAACTGAATTGTCAAGGTCAAGCCATAAAAAGGAATGAAGCACTGATCACGCTACAATGTGCAGGGACCTCAGGAACATCATGCTGAGTGAAAGAAGCCAGATGCAAAAGGCTACATACTGTATGGTTTTGTGCATATGAAATGTCTGGAAATATTGGTGGTTGTCAGGGGCTGGGGAAGGGCGTGGGGTGGGGAGTCACTACTAATGGGTTCAGGGTTTTATTCTGGGGTTAATAAAATGTTTTGGAACTAGAGAGAGGTGCTCGTTGTGCAACATTGTGACTGTACTAAGTGCCATTTAAAAACAGTTAATTTTGGCCCTGATTGGGTTACTCTGCTGATTAGAGCATCATCCCACTACACCAAGGTTGCAGGTTCGATTTCCAGTCAGGGCATGTACAAGAAGCAACCAATGAATGCATAAATAAGTGGAACAACAAATTGATGTTTCTCTCTGTCTCTCTCTGTCTCTCTTTCCCTCTCTCCCCTTCTTCCTCTCTCTCTGTCTCTAAAATCAATCAATCAATAAAATTTTTTTTAAATGGTTAATTTTTTGTTACGTGAATTCCATCTCAGTTTTAAAAAAGGTCAAGGGCCTCCATGCTTTTCCATGGTGATTTACAACAAGGTCTCTGTCCAACATGGGGGCTGCAGCTCCCTACCAAGCTCCTCAAGCGCAGGACCACCTTGCCCCACCTTGATTTTAGCCCAGTGAGGCCCATGTCAGACTTCTGACCTCCAGAACTGTGCTAAGATAATAAATTTGTGTTGGGTAAGCCCATAAATGTGTGGCAATTAGTTATGGCTGTCACAGAAAATGAATATATCATTTAATTTGGAAAACTGAGGCTATTTTAACAGATTGAGTTTTAATCACTGAAAGTGGTTTGAAACTGCACTAAATGCTGGGGGTCTTCATTGCCCCTGGGAGGTGGGGGAAGCCAAGTGCAGATGGATCAGCAGGTCTGTGAGTACATGGTCCAAGCTTCCCCCCACCCCCTAAATCCCAGAGATGGAAGACCGCGAGGTCAGCAGCATGGGTTTCTAACCGAAACAGAGCCCTGGACGCCATCTGGGCCGACGCCTACCTCTCTCTTGTCTTTCCTTCTGCCGCTTCCTCTCCGCAGCCCGCCGCTTGATCATGGCCAAGGCCTCAACGCTGTCTGTGATCTTCTTCCGTTCTCTGCTCTCCCACTGCCGTCTCTCCTCTTTCTCCGCCTCATACCCTCCCCTCGCCCAGGCCTCTGCACAAGCTCTGTTTAGAAGGATTTAAACAAGAAGAGAAATCATGGAGGTTTCCATTTTCACAGGTTAAAGGTAAATTCAAAACATATACTGCCTGATCAAACCTGTTCTTTTTCCCCAGGCAAAGCAAAGCCACACAGGACATGTGGCAACAAGGACAGAAGTTAACAGATGTACATTTTAATCTTTAAAGTCAAATGGATTGCAAGCCTTCTAGATGTGATACCAAAAGCATAAGTCACAAAAGAAAAAAGAGAGATATTGGTCTCCATCAACATTAAAGTGTTTGCAATGCAAATACCACAAATAAAGTAAAAAGACAACCTACAGAATATGAGAAGATATTTGCAAATCATATACCTGATAAGGGACTTGTACCTAGAATATATAAAGAAATGTACACCTCATTAATACAAAGACAACACAATTTAAAGATGGGCAGTTTGGCCTGGCTGGTGTGGCTCGGTTGGTTGGGAGTGACTAATAAGTAAGGGCTCCTTCTTAGGGGAATGGAATTATTCTAGAATTGATTATGGTGGTGGTTGCACAACTATGTGAATATACTAAAAACCACCAAATTGTACACATTAAATGGGTGAACTGTTCTAGGGGCTGGGGTTACAGCAGGTAACATAGGAGATGACTCTGCTCTCTGTTAGAGCTTCCCTTTTGTGGGGAAAGACAGGCCCTAAACAAGGCGACCAGCATGTCAGAGGCTACTGTGTCCTAAGAAAAGAATCAGGCTGAAGAGACACCAGGAGGAAAGGGTGCTACTTAGATAGGGTGCTGGGTCATGGAGATCTTAATAAGACCACAGGTGAGCAGGCACCTGCCACCTGTGATGCGCACCCCAGGCAGAGAGAAGAGCAAGTGCCCAGCATGGACCAGGCGGCATCAGGATTCGAACCCAGGTGAATGTGACTCCTGACCTGGAGTCGTGCTACACTGCACAGGTGATGGGTCTCCCTGTGAAGGGTTCGCCTCGTGTCAGTTTACACTCCCCGCTGGTCAGCGCTACTTCAGGGTGGGGCTCAGAGCCTCAGCAATAGCTGAGCTCATTGGCTCACTCCTATGCTCCCGTTACCTGCTCAAGACCCACGTGTTACTCACAAGGACCCTGTGGTCGGTATTGTCCCCACTTGCCAGATGAGGAACATGAAGCTTGGGAGGTTAGCAAGCCCACCTCAGGGGACATAACTCTTGGCTGCTGAGCTGGGTTTTCAAGTCAGCACACAGGCCGCGCTTGCTGTCTCCCATCCCCCCCAGGGTGGGGGCCTGGGAAACTGCGTGCATCTCTGCCCAACTTCCCAGAAGCAGGTCTTCTTGTTTTCTCATCTAATTGGAGTGGAGGCTCTCACTTCTACTTGAAGTATTTGTTAGTTTGACTTAAATTTGTGAGTTCAAAAACATAGTACCAGTTACATTTATTAAATGTATCATTCAAAACTTAGATTGTGCTTGCCTTCAAGCTGTCCATGTGACTGAGGTTTTATTCAAAGTTAGAATGAACAGTGATCTCAATTAAAAACACAGATAAAAGTAATGTGACAATGCACATGGCAGTCCCGGATTTATTGTTCTTAATATAAAAAGAGCTCTTATGAATCAGTAAGAAAAATCCCTCCCAGAATAAAGGAAGCTGGGAGGAAGTTGTGAGTGGAATATTCATAGAGGAGGGAACATAAATGTCTGACAAAGATGGCAAATGTAACCAACCTCGTCAGTTATCCAAAAATACAAATTTAACAGGATACGCCATCTTCACTCATCAAGTCGCCTGGCAAAGATTTATTTTACATGGCAATGTCTGGTGAAGCTATAAATTGTTACAAACTTTCTAGGAAACAATTAGAGAATACAAGGTGTCCCAAAAAAGTATATACACACTTTGAATAATTATAAAGCCAGTTTGTTATAATTATAAAGCCAGTGTTTATTAAAATACATTTCATTTTCAAAATGTAATAGAAATCAGCTGTTAAAGTGTATACCCATTTTTGGGGGACATCATGTTTAAGCACCTTTAAAAAGGTTCAGACCACATTTTTTGATCCAATTATAGAACTCCTTGAATTCCACCCTAAGGAAATAATCAGCAATGAGGTCAGAGACTTATATACAATATTTATCAAAGGATTATAAAAAAACACCTATGAATAAATGCTCAAAATTAGAGAATTTTCTATTATGAAAAATTATGTAGCCATTCAACCTATTTCCAAAGAATTTAATGATGGGTGAAAATGCTCAAAAATCAGAATTTTTTAAAAGTTTAGTAAGTGTGCTCAACTATTACGTATTAAAATGTGATCTCTTCCTTACCTGTCCTTTGGAAAAACTGGTCTATCATCCAGGAATGTTAAGTGTTTTAGTCGGATAGTGACTGTCCTTCGGTAGTTAGGGATGTGCCTAATAACTGGGTTTCCCATCAAATTCAGGACACGCTGTAAGCAAATAGGCAGAACCAAATTAGCTGTTAAAAATGGCTGTGGTTTAAATATTTCATATGTACTGTGCTCTAAGAATAAATAAACAAAAAGGAAGTGCCAGCGTCAGATCCTGAGGACGTCATTAGCGAAGCCAGAGGGCGTCACTGTTTTTGTGCCATCAGAACTGTCCTGATACCAGGGCGGCCCTTTCTCTTCTCGAACTTCAGATCCTCAGTCTCACTGTCCTGCCAGAACAAGAGTGTAAAACATTTCCCGAGCCCTTTTCCGAGAGCTGGTGCTCACATTAGTTTTGCTCACACAATCTCTCCAACGAAAATTGATCTCAGCCTAATTGCCTGTTTTCCCTCCTTCCCGGCCAGGACCCATTTTAAGAAAAGGACACAGCGGCTGGACGGATAAAGAGCAGTGACTCAGGGGAAGGGGCGGGAAGTGCCCGCGTATTTCCTGCGAGGCCCACGGGTCTCCTAGATGTCATGCTGGGACCACAAAAGGGAAAGAAACACGCAGTGAGGCAACCCGCCTTCCCCCATCTTTAAATGCTGCCACCTCCTCTTCTGCGGGTGAACCGGAAAGAAAGTGAACAGGCAAGGAGACGGGAGTGAGCCGTTTAAGCTGACTGAATACTTTCATATCTAAAGTGGCTGTTGCTATTGGAGAACATAAGCACACTGCGAACTGGTCGGTTTAGCCTTCCCCCAGCTCCACCCTCACGCTCCCTGCATTTTCAAGTGGCCTGTCCTGCGGGGCTGGGGTGGCGGGAGCGGTGTGCTCCAGGCGCAGGCCCTAAAGGGGTGCGTGCGGTGTGGAGAATTTTAAAGCAGTCATCAAACAAACTCTAAAGCAATCGTAACAAAACTACATTTTGTTATGGGCATGCTGTATTGAAGTCCGAGCCCCCAGCACCTTGGAATGTGACTGTATTTGGAGAACGGGGCCTTCAAAGAGGTCGATTAATTGTCACCTAAATTGGTACAGATACTGATGAAACTATAATGGATAATCATAACACTCTTGGTCACATGTTTCCTGCAGCCTGAAGGTTTTTAAAAGATACCAAATGCCTGCTGTCACCACCCTTTCAAACTGCTATCTTTTGATGTGTTTTAGATTGATTTCCCTATTTTAGGGAAATGACAGTCAGTAGTTTCAGTTCTGGTGGTTTATTGAAAATTTAAAGTAAAATAATAATAATAATAATAAAGAGGTCAATTAAGATTAAATGAGGTCACAGGGACAGACCCTCATCCAATATGATTGGTATCCTTATAAAAAGAAGAGACTGGGACACAGACATGCACAGAGGAAAGACCTTGTGTCCTACAGGGAGAAGACGACCAAAGAGAAAGGCTCAAAATGAAACTAGCCCTGCTGACACCTTCATCTTGGACTTCTAACTACTAGAATTATGAGAAAATAAATTTTTGTTTGAGCCTCCAAGCCCATGGCAATCTGTTATGGCAGCTAAGCAAGAAAAAGAAAGTATTATGATATAATACAGCTTTATATTATTGCCACGTGCTAGCAATGCCAACCTGGCCCTTCTTAATAGTCTCCTCCCCAGGTTATTCTTGAGCTATTTTTCCTTCAGTAGGCTCTCCTTTTCCTTACTTATCATGACCTAAGCAGTAAACAGTAAACTCGAGGGCTTTCTGTGCTGTTTTAAATATGTTTCCTAGTACACACGACAACACATCCACTCTAAAAATCAAGGAAGACATCAAAGGCCACTGAGGGTGAGTCAAAAGGACACAACTGCCACCTGATGGGTTGTCACAGGCCAGAAGATGGGACCATTGGAGCATCCAAAATTAAAATGACAGCAAGGGTTAAATCATACCAAACACTGTATATATAAATCCATGAGTTCATAACGATACTGAAAAAGAAAAACACTTCATTGTCTCCATGAACTGTTGCTAGACTTGCTTCTCTGAAAATTGATAAACAAATGAAAAGAAGCCGACATTTTCCCCTGGCCTTTCCTGTATGAACTGCGTGGTTTTAGGGAACCACTAGTTGATGAGGGAAAGTGCTTCTTTGCAGAAGCGTTCCAGCTAAGAAATGCAGAAGGGGTAAGGTAAGCAGAAAATGGCCATCACACGACTCCCGATGAAATAGTGCACCCGGGCAATGCCCATTGGTGGCTGCCAAAACAACTGCGGGAAAGAGCTATGGGGACTTCATAATGGCTCGGCCAGGCTGACGAGACCTGCACCCACTCATTAATATTAAAGTTACAAAAAGAGAGGCCACCATGTATTACATGTCCCATGATGTGATGCAATGGCATACCTCAAAGTTAAATATTGAACCTGGATCTGATGAAGCCTCTGGCTCCATGATCACTTTGCAAGAAATACTGGGTACAGCAGAACATGTTAAACACCATGAAGGTGCAATCAACCAAGTCCAGGGTGTGGCACACTGCAAGGGAAGGACGCAGTTTCTTTGATAGAGTAATGGAGTGGGGGGGGGG